TCGTTTAAAGAACTTACCAAAATAATTAGTGTGTCTACTCAGACGATCCAACTGGGCGGCACATAAGAAGCGATGGATGCTCTGATTGAGGAGCATTCTTCATTTACGCACACACTGGGGAGCATGGAGGCAGGGTTGTTTGTTTTAATTCCATTATATCGATTTCAAAAGGATTTTACACTCCTCAATTGTCTGCTCATTTCTAAAAATGTCGGGTTAGTAAAGGACTGGTAACGAGAGCAAAATTTCCAGTGTCCTTGTGTTGCACAGCGAAGGAATTTGGTGTTGAAATAAAGGACTGGAACTAGAAGGTTTATTATGCACGGCTGAATTGCTATTCCACTACCCCCTGCTCTCGGTGTTATTCGTATTACTAATACCGTCACTCATGCTTATGAACACTAGAGACTTTCCTACTGGCTCATGGTATCGGATGACCTTGGGCTTGCCTACCGGTGTTTTGTCCAAAAGGTGGAGTGCTTTTGGCTCACGATTGTACGCGAGAGAAGGAAAGGCGTTATCTGTGTTTCTCTTCTATTTGAAGCGGTGTCCAGGGCATCTCCTTTCCTCTCAGGCCTTATACAGGTATGGCAAGGCATAATGGTGTCAGGGTAACACTGTTCCCAGGTTTGCTTTTGATGTACAGCACGTATCCAAGATGTGAATAGACAGTTTTTGTAAAGGTCATCCCATGGTTAACCAAGGTTGTACCAATTGTAATCCAATCGTTTGAGTGTCAGCCTATTCTCCATCAAGTCACCTTTTGGAGGAAGAAATGACCTTTAAAGGTATCCTTGTAAGATACTTTGTGTTAAAAGTTGTGAGTTTTAAACCAGTCACGCTTGGTCAAACAACACTTGAAAAGTGCTCCAACATTCTTAGTCTATGCAACATCAGTCGGACTATCTGCGTTCATTGAGAGATTAGTCGATGACACACCTTGGAGCGTACTAGTATGGTTTCGATCCACTCCGCGTGACTCGGTCAAATTAAGTCTATGTCTGCTGTAGACATCGTGGGAGAGATTTTCTAAGACTACTCATTGTCATTAAGATTCATTTCAGAAACCATTGTTGTTCGTTTTTGGCACAAATTTTAGCCCTTAAAAGCTCTTTGATAAAAGAGTATATTTCGAGACTTAAACATGTCTTTTTTTCGTTTTTATTGCTCATCTTGGAATAAGTCGAAAGATGCTAGTGGAAGGGGATCCTAGATTCTCTTTGGTAGTCATTGTCACAAGCATGAGCACGAAAAAGGGTAAAGTGGTGATTCTCATAGAAAGGCAGACGGTAATTTAGGTTAAATCAAGGAATGTGTTCACGTCACTGGTCATAACTTCACATCACAATAGAATAAGTGTAGGTCAAGGTTGTCGTTACACCCACCTGTCCATTCTCTGCAAGAAAATACACTCTGATGACTTCTCTTGGACTGGTGGCGTTGGTATTGAGTGGAGAGTTAGGGTCTTAGAAGACATAGGAATGCTCAAGTTGGTACTTGTTACATTAAGAGAGCAGTTCCTCGATTAACCTTGTCCCCAATTTCTCCTTTTGAATTCCGACCTCCGATGTAAGTCTTCGCGTTTAGTCTACAGACCCTTGATATGAAGAGGTGAAAGTTAATTCTCCGCTATTGTTGCTCACTCGAGTTCTCACGCCTGAAGTGGTGTCGCTGCGCTTTTAAGTCAGCTGAAATTATGGATCAACTTGAGATCTTCACACGGTGTCTAGGAGGAAGGCAGGGGATGTGACCTGTGATCATCTAAAGAGTGCGACAGAAGGTGAACTCTGTGCCCAATAGGGCAGTCACCATCGAGTTAATGAGCATGGTTGCATGCAAACATACGAAATAGTAACATTTTCTAAATTGTCTGAAATTCTTGTTGGTATGCGAATGGAAGTCAGACTGATCTTTCACCTGAATTTGATCCTCGACGTAAAAATATCTCCTCCCAAGATGTCGACTGTAAGCACCAACGGGTGGAGTAGGAGCTTGCGATTTGGACACAAGCAGATTGTTAAGGCAGCACGCTTACAGTCATATCGCGCTTGTATGGCAAGTGTACGACGACGGCCGTCCAAAACGACATAGCAGACATCCGACGACGGCTTTGATATTGCCCTGGTCTTAACAAATCGTGGTGTGTCTTGAGACCACCCTGCATTACATTTCGATGGCTCAAACAAAAAATGGCAAAATTCATTGCCAATTATTCATTCTACAATACCCTAAGCTGAGAAGATGCCTTAGTGAAATGGATTATCATGCGCCTTGGTACATTAATGCACACATACTGAGTCCATGCGTATGAACCGTCCAAAGTGGATGCAAGATCATTCGTTCGTTTCGCATCCAATGGTTCTGACTGTATCAGACACTGCCAGCTATTTACATCACCGTTATCAGAAGTAATCGTGAAAAATTTGCCGAAGTTAATGACTTGTACGTTAAAACAGCACGGCAGAAACCTTGTTTAAAGATGCAAATTTGGGTGTTTACGTTAGGTTGAGGTGTTTCGGTTTCTTGTGACGAAATATACTTATAATGCGTCAGCAAAGACCAAAACTATGGTACAAAAAGTCAAAAGAGGAAGATAAATTTATCGCTATGGTTGGCTCCAACCCCTCCTTGTTGACGCTCTCAACAAGGAACTCAGCAAGACACGCGGAAGCACCAACGTTGAAGTGTTGCAAACATGGACAGAAATGCTTCGATTCATCTGCCTGCAACATGCCGCATTTCATTACCGAAAGCTGTCCCTCCCATCATCATCAACACCATCATCATCATCACCTCATCACTGCTCTCTCCATTTGACGCGTTCAGTGTGACCCAAACCACATGACTTCATCAAACCACCCTCCTGTCAAACCTCCCTCCTCCCACTC